GCAAGTGTGACGGAATGACAGACAGAAAACAGACATGACAAACACTATTTTCCCAGGCCTTATTCATGGCGGGGCATAAAAATAATCTTTAATTTTTTTAGTTAGGTATTCCTGTAAAGTTATTTGTTTCGGTGATTTACATCTAACCCATTGTAAACCCATTTTGTTTAAACACCAAAATTTATATGCAAAAAATAAAAAATTAAAATATTTGCAACATTTTAGCTAAATAAAAGGTCAAGGTCAGAAAGCTGAGATTATATGTCTTGTATATGAGCACATCTTCAGTTTAATCATGTTATTCAACAGTCTTAACCATGCATTTGATAGATAAATCAATGATCAAAGAATTGTAACGAAGTAGACTTGGTTATGATTTATTTATTACATACAAATATTTTTGAAGGTATAGTGAATTGGTGTACTATGTTATGATGGCCAGACATTGTGACATTCATCCATGTAGAGGACAATTCACTTAATGTTTCAGAAAAAAATGATTTGGAGTTCATCTAATTGGATAAATCGTAAGGTTTCAGGACATTCTTCTGAACCAGAAAATGAAAATGTCTTTACTCTTTCTAAAATGTATACTTTTGATTGGAATCTGAAATTAAAAATTGTGGCTTTCGGGCTGTGGCTTTCCGGACGTCGGTAAGCACAGAAAATTCCCGAACGTGTATGGCGTCATTACGTCACTGACAGCGATGAACAAAAAATCACAATTAATTATGGATCCCCTTTCTAAATGTCGGCTATTTTGACAACGTTTAATCCCCGTAGACTCTGAATTTGCCGCCATGCCATGTCACTGTTGATCTCATATCGAGGATTCCTCTAAATGCAGGAAGCTTGGGCGATAGTGATCTATTGATCGATTCAAGGCCAAGGTATTTATACATTTTTGAGATATGATTCAAAAAGCTCTCTTTTGTGAATAATCAATATCAATTGATAGTGCACATATTAAAGGGGCCTGGATACGATTGCATTGTTTACAATTTTAAATGTCTATTTTTATTCAAAAAATAACTTTAGTTTAATGATTTGAACTTATATGAATATTCTAAGAATTCAATGACAACGACATTCTTCATAACATCAGGTCAAATGCCTGTGTTTGTAAACAGGACACAATCTGTGTTATCTTTTATCGGGTGTGTTCAATTTGTTTAGTCTGCACACACCACTGAGCACAGACTGACAATACAGGTGAGTTGGTTTTGCTTTCTCACATTTCTACTATGAACTTTCTGGATTATAGTTTTAATATTTTTCATTAATGCACAAAAAATTCTACTTTTCTTAAGTATTATAGATAAAGTTTACTTTGTGAAAGTGCAAGGATATGTGTCAATCAAACACTTCCCGAAATTCGTAGTTTTAGTAATTTTCAGATAAAAGACGTTTCTAAATACGTTTCTAAATCTTTTAAGGTAAGGTTTGCGACAGCCTCCAAATTTTATTTTTTTTTAAATTGTATATATGTCATACATCAATTTGTTTGGGAAGAATAGCTTTATCAATTAACACGATTTTAAAAGATATTGCCCGTCCTGTTTTTTGAGTAAAAGACGCCAAATTTGAGGATTTGACGTTTTACATGTTTAATTATTTTCAATGAAAAAAATTGATTTATTTTATATATTATCATGTTAAAATAATCAAAATGGCATGAAATAATATATTTTATGCTTTATTTATCTTAAATTTTTATTTCTGTTATTTAAAATGTAAAAATTTAGGTAAAAAAAAGAGTTTTTTTCAATTTTCCATAATAAAGTGAAACCGTTGCCATGGCAACAAACAAGTAAAAATCACCACTATCCATATCTACCGATTCCACGAAAATCCAAGAAATTGTTGACTGGATCATTTTTATTACAATGAACTAAAAAAATATGTATGTCCCCAATACCGTTTCCATGGAAACAGAGGGTATATAATGGGTTTTGTACATAAAATCAGACTTTTTCTGCATTTTAAAGTAAACATTGACACGATTTTGAGAAAGTGTACTCGTTATACTAGATATTATATGAAATTGTTTTTTGGCAGAACATTGACCACAATAACACCCCTTCTATGCTACTAAATAATCAGTTCATGGAAAGGCTCTTGGTATACATGTCCTACTTAAAGCACCTTTGCTATATTATTGATGAGATAGTCAATGGAATTATGTTTCAACACCTTTTAGAAATACATGTATTTATAACACGCTTGAGGTGTATACATGTTAATGTATTTGTTCTTCATGGTTTCTTAGTATGCTGCTGTTGGAAAACAAGTTTAAGTAAACCAATAAAAGCTTTTTGACCTCATGTTGATTTAATCATTCCAAAAGATTTCATCTACCTGTATTAATTTCTAGGTATTTTAGCTAATGTCTACTCATCAATGACTGGTGAGGCTTTACATCCTATCATTTGAGTGAAATGTTGCACTCATTGTATCTACCGGTAGGTAGCTGCTATCTTAACAGCCGTAACATATATCTACATATCAATCATTTTATTAGTTTGTTCATTTGTTTGTTTAACACTTTTTCACTCATATTGAGACGCCACCACTTGCCAGTGGAGGGCTGCAAATTCAGTACTCAACACTTATGGCTTTTGATCAGTGAGGATCTTTTCCGTGTCAGCAAATACTACAATACGGGCCTTTGGTTTATACACAGGGAAAAGTGGCTCGCATGATTTTCATGCGTTTGCCTTTTCGCATGAAATTTATGCCAAAATTATATGAATATCATGCGAAAAGTCCCACATGCGAATTTCATGTGAATGTTATCATACAATTTTCATGCAAAATTCATGCGATTTTCATGCGACTAAATTTTCGCATGATTTTTATGCGAATTCCAATTTGTCTGTTTTTCATGTGAAAATTGTACGAAATTCGCATAAATATCATGTTATATTCATACATAAAGAAAAGGAAGATACTATGTGAATTGCTGAGTTAGTTTTGCATTATTTAAAAATTCAATGAAAATACATAAGTAAATCACTATTTTTCAAAGGAATTAATAGAGTTCCAATACCAATATTTAAAAGCAGCATAAATTTTTAAGTCAATGTACAAAATTTTTTTTGCCATACTATTTCACAATATTTTGGATTAAACAATAAGTTTTATTACCACTTCATCAGATAAGTCAATGTAAATGCAAACTTTTTGTTAAACAGTCAGTTTAATATGAATAAAATATGTGAATATTTTCTCTTTTTTAAAACAGCGAAAGATATACAGATGTAGTTGGTAACACCAAAAATTCATTTAGATCTCAGAAATGGTTAACAAAATCCACAAAGCTGTGATAAGTGTCAACATTTTAATATCAGAGTCTTAATTAAACTAATACTGTTGAGTTTCAAAAAAATGAAACATCCAAAGAGATTCACATACAGATTTGTTAAAAGTCTATAAAAATATTGTATAGCAGGTTTTCTTTGACATTTTGCTTCCTCAAATGTATGCCAATAATTTTGGCATACAATGCTATTAATTTTAGCGGACACAGGGTTTAAACACGTTGCAAAGAACACTATGAAGAATACTGAATATTTTAGAAATTAAAATTTTAGTAAGCTACTACAAAAACGCTAAAATAAGCCAAAATTAGCACTCTGCTAAAATAACTCGCTATAGGGTATTAAAAATTTACATAAATTACTCGGGTGATGTACAGACATTGCTCTAATTCAAGGTAATGACTATTATACAATTCCACAACAATATATACAACGAGTCTAATTACTACTTATCAGGTAATGCAATCTGTATGCTCACTTTGTGTGTTAAACAGTCATTTCACTATAAATATTCAATTTGCAGATATTTTATCATTTCTAAAGTACTAAAACTTAGATGGAGTTGGTCAAATGACCAAAAATTCTTTGTGAATATCATAAATGAACAGTAAAAATCCACAGTGATGTGATAAATTGTCGATAGGTTAAAATCAGACTTTAACTTAAACTGATTAATTTTTAAATGAAAAATCCAGAGATTAAAAAAAATAACTGCAAATATATTTGCTATACAAGTCTATAACAAATGTAAATAAAAATACAGTAAAAAATATCTAAAACATATTGATCAGAAAGAAGATACAAGTTGGTCACTTTCTAAAATCCCAAACAAGCCCGAAGTACTTACAGTAAAAAAAATAATAATGTTCTTTTAGGCACATTGCTGAAGGAAAAACAACAATAATAAAAGAAACCCAAAAACATGTCCATTGGACATAAATGACCTAACCAGTGTTCATTACATGTAGTAATGCAACATGAGAAGGTTATAGCTCAAAAAATTTTGAAGCAGTTGAATAAAACTCACCTATTTATTAAGGTGTATGAAGTGTGATAAAAATACCTTGAATGGTTTTTTTTAAAATTAAAATTAAAACCCAAAAAATCATCAGAGGCCATGGGCAAGATCAAGGTATTAGAAAAAATTGTTTACATTTGATAAATATTCATCAAATATGTTGACACAAATTTAAGAATGGCAAGGTCATAGAGAAGGTCATGGTCAAAAATATGTTGATGCATAAGGAGTTTAATAAAAATATCTTACATAGTTTTTTTTGAATCTTAGGTAAGCACAAATTTAAGAAAATGAGTTTAAGATAAAAACAAATGTTGCTGCAATGGAGTACATAATTCTCAATAATATGTATCTGCATATGATGTTTGATAACATATGCTTGATAAAAACAAATATTTTTTAAATTGATCAGCTAAACACAAATTTAGTAGAATCTAGGTCAAATGAAAGCTAAAGGTAAAAGCGTTTTTGATGCAATTAAATAGCTATTATAAATATACATCATTCAGCTTACAAGTTTTTAAAAATTATCTTAAACTGTTTCTTGAAACTGAGCTAAATGCAAAGTGTGACAGTAGGACACAGAACAGAAAGAAAGCTATGACAAAATGCTATATGTGCCCTGGCTATATTTTTTGTTTGGGCACAACAATAGGAAATACTTAAACAAAATATTTGTCTTTTTTGTTTGCAAAACTTAATCTGTTCAGAAAAAACACACAGTTATTCTTGTGCTTCCAAAACTTTTTCTTCACTTCTCTCATCTCTTGCTCAACACGCACACTTACTTCACCCTCTTTCATTCTACATCCCTCATTCAAACAATCATGCACCAAGCAAATCACACTTTTGATTCTGGAGGACTGAATAAAAACTTTCTGCTCTGTTAATTGCACCCTCTCAAAATTCATTTCCCCAAATAATCTGGCATCTTCAATTTTCTCAAATAAATGTAGTTGCGCTATTTGCACTTGCACTCCCAAGGCAGTTGAAACAAGCCATCCCTGGATAAACATAGCAACATTTTCCTGTAATAAAAATATTAAAACAAAATAATTAGAGATTACAACCTTACCTCAAAGAATATAATATACATGCACAAACATGGTTTAATGTTACATTCAATAATTGCTCTAAATGACACAACATCATTGCAAAATACGGTTGAAGTTCAGTATCTCGAACACAGATATCTCGAATACCATGGATATGTCGTAGTAACATTGATGTCCCAATTACTTATTCTGTAAGTTTTTTACCCTGGATATCTTGAATACTCTAATATCTTGAAGTTTTATCTCATCCCCATGCAGTTCGAGATAATGAGGTTGGACTGTATATATATATAAATTAAACAGCAAATGACTATGAAGCATGATAACAAACAAAATACAATCCCTAATTATCAAAAACTATGGAAGTTGGTTCAGGTAAAGGGCAATACTTACTTGAAGAAACAAGAAGTCTGTGAGCCAATGCTCACTAGTAATACCCCCGCTTTGATGTGAATATACATTCTGGTGTGAATGTACACAAGTTCAGTTATGGACAGACACAAGGATGAATAAGAAGTTAACATCAGATTCGTACAAAAATAAATCCCACCATATTGCAGGCCAAAACAAAGAGTGTGCTAAAATTTCAAGCATCTGCAATCAGTAGTTGCTGAGAAAACTGCAACGAAAATTTGTTATGAATGGTACGGACAGACGCATGGATAATCAGAAAGCTGACATCAGATTCATACAAAAATGAATCTCACCATATGAAATGCCTATTAAACAAAGAATGTGTTAAAATTTCAAGCATCTGCAATCAGTAGTTGCTGAGAAAACTACAACGAGAATTCGAAAATTTGTTATGTATGGTACGGGGAGACGCACAGATAAACAGGAAGTTGACATCAGATTCATACAAAAATGAATCCCACCATATGAAATGCCTAAATAAAGAATGTGCTAAAATTTCAAGCATCTGCAATCAGTACTTGCTGAGAAAACTGTGACCAAAATTTGTTATGTATGGTACGGACAGACACACGGATAAACAGGAAGTTGACATCGGATTCATACAATAATAAATCCCACCATATGAAATGCCTAAACAAAGAATTTGCTAAAATTTCAAGCATCTGCAATCAGTACTTGCTGAGAAAACTGTGATCAAAATTTTTTATGTATGGTAAAGGACAGACGCACGGATAAACAGGAAGTTGACATCGGATTCATACAAAAATGAATCCCACCATATGGCATACCTCAACAAAGTGTGTGCTAAAATTTCAAGCATCTGCGATCAGTAGTTGCTGAGAAAACTGTGACGAAAAATTTGTTACAGACAGACAGACACACAGACAGACAGACAGAGAGACAGACACACAAGGGTAAAACAGTATACCCCCCTCTCCTTGGGAGCGGGGGTATAAAAATCAGTTCCTATGAGAACCTTGTAACTTAAACCTGACAAATGAAAAATATAGATGGATATTATATGTATAATCGATGCAATACAAAATAGTTATTAGTTAAGATCACTTTGCTTTGCTTTAGGTGAGCTAAACATGCATTTACATTTCAAATGTTCATTTCTTAGACTGCATATTGGGAAATGTACCCATTCTTGGCCTTTGTACCGATACAGACCATGCAGGAATGGTTACTTTACAAAAGGGCAGACTAATTTTTTTAATAATCATTAACCTATAAATAGCACATCCTTCCATCAGAAGGATTGGAATAATCTGTTTTAATCATTTTGTGTCATTTTTAATATCACATTTTTATTTTTAGATGCATATACATATGTATATAGTTTCTCACTTAAAAAAAAAACAACAAATATACAATTATAGCAAACATTCTTATATAATGAATTTATTTAATTCTTACAGGCAATATGAAGTGATTTTCATAATTCTTTAAAATGTGTTATAAAATACAATTAGTGAGGGAGTTTTTTTATGCACAGAAAGTGTTTCTTCGATCATCACAACATTATATGACACTAGAGACTGTTGGCTTGAACTTTCCTAAATATCCATGGATATACGGATAAATTGTACATTTTTTTTTAACATTTCATTTAACTTTGCCATTGCATGGACACATTCAAAAACTGAAAATGAAATTCAAAATAGGTTTTCTTACCACATCGTCATTGTCTGTGAAAAGTATGTAATTCCCATTATTCACTAACTCTCCTGACTGAGCCTTCACTGCATTAAATAAGCTTCTCTGAGCCCCAAGGAAGTTGATCTCATTCTGGTATAGCTGAGAGAGGGATTCTACAGAATCAGAATCAACATACTCCCATTGCAAGTAACCCTTCTGTCTTCCCACTGCTTTTCTGAGATCTCTACTGATGGCAAAGGATGGCTCATTTGCTACAGGAATGCCCAGAAAATGCTTAACCGATTTACTGCTAGAGGCAGTTTGAACAAGCTGTGATGCTTGTAACCTTTTGAAAGAAAAAAAAAGAACTTGAGTGCAATATGTATTTCATGAACTCATTATTCTAGTAAAGAAAGCAGCTCAAAGTACTTCATAATTTTAAACATTATTTAATCAGATTTAATCAAACAACTTTGTCACTTTTTCATATTGAGTGCTATCTGTAACTTTTTTTTCATGAGTTCAATACAGTTAAATATTCCTTAATGTGTCGATATTAAGACAAGTATTGTTTTACCATGTATCTCCTGAGGGAAAGTATCCCCCAGTTAAAACATGTTGCAGGACTTCCATTTCAGCAAAGGCATAGGCTGTGTCCCTGCTTCTTGCATGCAAGTTTTGATTAAACATTTGGTCTCTAATGCGGCCATGCATTTTTTCAAATGCGTCTTCTTTGTAGTTGTCCATTGGACCATGTCTGAAGATGTCATCTACCTATTATTTCAGAGAGAATTAAACAACAATTGTTAAATCTATTGATGTAGTGATAGACTTATGCATAAAAAAAAGCATTACTTTAAATTTACAAAAATAGCACTCTCTAAATTTTGTGCAATCTTCATCGTCAAGATTAGGACAGTCAGAAAGCTTATTTGCGTCTTTCAAATATGTTTTAGTTTTAAATCATTGTACATGAATCATCAGACAGAACAAAGTAATTCGGCAGCACTAAATTATTGTTAACACTGAAATAATGATATGCATTGTGAGCTTGCATCTTGCATATATAAAAAATGTCCTTGTAATGTATCATGAGAGACTGCTACTTGTTCAATTGTAATGGCAGCATTTTCTTAAAACATCCCATGCTTCATTTTGATTTAAAGAATAAAAAAATGTTTCTTTTTTTTTTTATTAGCATTTCTTCAAAAAATAATATAACAAATTTTTAATGACAATGCCTAAATTAAAATATTCATTCTTTTGACTGTCTTGCAGCTATTTAATGGATTTTATGCACGTGAATTAAAATATGATAACTTGTAATACTTACAATATGAACAGAAAGATGTGTCTTCACTTTCTGCAAAAGATGTGGAAAGATATCAGAAACACCCCGAAGGTATTCATCAATTTTGTCCTGCAGACAGGCCAGATTAAATTCTGTGTATTCATTCCAACATGTTAGAATTTTACTAATCTGAAATGAAAAAAAAAATATATATATATATGCATGCAAGAAATGTATACAATACAGTTAAAGCAATTTTATAAGATGTGTATATTATACAGCATAAGGTAATTTGGTCAGCACTGCTAAATTAGGAATAAAATATTTAGGTGCCTACCTGAGCAAGTTGGCAGAGTAAGTCCACTTTAGCCCTCTCCAGTCCTGTCATTGAAAAATGGAATGGGGCAATTTGAAGCTGAAACAATTTATGATATATATATATATATATATATATATATATATATATATATATATATATATATATATATATATATATATACAAACCTTGTTGTTCCCAACTCAATGGGACAAAGGAAAAATGAGATATTCAAGGTTTCAAGATGAGGGTAAATCATGTAAAGAAAACATTATTGGGACTTTCAACACTATAGTTTGAGTCAGTGAAGTTCAATTGTATATGTTTTATTTGACAAATTATTGGTATTTCAATTTAAAGACTATTTTAATAAGGTAAGTTTTTACTATATTCATACATAAGTTTTGATGTCCTTCCCTTGCCTGCTGTCTAGGTATCTGACCGTGTCACTAGATAATTTTGTTTGAAACCCACTCTGGTCACTACTTTCAATCAACAGGCTCAGCTCTTCCTTCTTTGGCTCAGAGAGTTCTTGTAAACACATTTTCAGTATGTGTTTACCAAGGCCAAGGTATAACCAATGCAAAATTCCTACTGGAATGTCCCTATTGCATAAAAAAAAGTTTTTAAGGCATGAATTGCTGGAACTTAGGCCCTTATAATTGTACAACCTGGGTTGTACAGCTTATGCTTTATAAAGCATATGTTAATGTAAAAAGTTACCTGTTCCTACCCAGGTTTTTTGCATTTTCCTAATGGGTAGTTAATTAAAAAAATCATTCTCCAATTATAATTTAAAGAGTCTTTCTTTCTCTTAGTGTAAAGAATAAGACTGGTTAATTTCCCTTCAACATTATATTTTCAAATTTGTACAAAATTTGAATGTTACATTTAGCAGATATGTTGATTTAGTCTTTGACATAATTAATCAATATTGTGATGTTAACAACACAGGTATGCCATAATAATCTTAGACTAATATTATGCAATCAAAGGCTGCATTACAATTTAACCTGTGAGAATTCAATTATTTATGCATTCATTTACATTCCTATAATTCATGTTAAGCATTAAGTAAACCGAAACATGCAAAAGGTACATGCATACCAAGCTGTAAAAGACAGCATCTCGGATAGGGGAAAATTACCTATGTGGATCAATAATATCCCAAAGAGGATTTTCAGCTGGTTTCAATCCATGAGCCTGTCTTAACTCTCTATTGTTGTTGATGGACAGATGGTTTAAAATTCTACTTGTATCCTCAGGATGTCTTTCTGTTCCTTTTGATATACAGGTTTCTTTATCAGCCTAAAATTAAGTTAAATACTTTTAAAAACAGTTTTATAGAATTTAGATATGGATGCTTATCCTAGCTAATAAGAGTAGTACATCCCTCAACCAGAAGTCTCTGACGAGACTGTAGCTCTACTGGTTGTATTTATAAAGGAAGATAAAAGTAGCACTTGGACTTGAAACTTTGCAACAGCAATAAATAGAATAATGATCCTTGGTTTAGTCTCTTTTGTGGCAAGATTTAATATTATATCAGACTAAAACTGTAGGAGGAGTAGTCTTTAAAAACAATTTTACAGAAATTTTGATTTAAGTAACCATGGCAACATCATTCAACAAAATCAAAAAACAATAACACCAATTATGTATCTCTGTGTCTACTTGTATGCCACATTATACTGAAATCAGACAAAAAGTATAGGAGGAGTAGCATTTTGAAAGTATTTCAAGAAAATTTCTATTTTTAGTAACCATGGCAACACTTTCATCGAAATCCGAAACTGGTACAGAGAATTATGCATCTTAGTGTAGTTTACTTGTGTGCTAAGTTATAGTAAAATCAGATTAAAACTGTAGGGGTAGCATTTTGAAAGTATTTCAAGGAAATTTCTATTTTTACTAACCATGGCAACAATGTTCATCGAAATCAGAAATCAATACAAAGAATTATGTATCTTAGTGTAGTCTACTTGTTTGCCAAGTTATACTGAAATCAGATCAAAACTGTAAGAGGAGTAGCATTTTGAAAGTATTTCACAGAAATTTCTATTTTTAGTAACCATGGCAACACCATTCATCGAAATCAAAAACCGATACACAGATTTATGCATCTTAGTATAGTCTACTTGTGTGCCAAGTACTTTTGAAATCAGATCAAAACTGTAGGAGAAGTAGCATTTTGAAAGTATTTCACAGAAATTTCTATTTTTAGTAACCATGGCAACACTGTTCATCGAAATCAAAAACCGATACACAGATTTATGCATCTTAGTATAGTCTACTTGTGTGCCAAGTTATATTGAAATCAGATCAAAACTGTAGGAGGAGTAGCATTTTGAAAGTATTTCACAGAAATTTCTATTTTTAGTAACCATGGCAACACCGTTCATCGAAATCAAAAACCGATACACAGAATTATGCATCTTAGTATAGTCTACTTGTGTGCCAAGTTATATTGAAATCAGATCAAAACTGTAGGAGGAGTAGCATTTTGAAAGTATTTCACAGAAATTTCTATTTTTAGTAACCATGGCAACACCGTTCATCGAAATCAAAAACCGATATACAGAATTATGCATCTTAGTATAGTCTACTTGTGTGCCAAGTTATATTGAAATCAGATCAAAACTGTAGGAGGAATAGCATTTTGAAAGTATTTCACAGAAATTTCTATTTTTAGTAACCATGGCAACACCGTTCATCGAAATCAAAAACCGATACACAGAATTGTGTATCTTAGTGTAGTCTACTTGTGTGCCAAGTTATATTGAAATCAGATCAAAACTGTAGGAGGAGTAGCATTTTGAAAGTATTTCACAGAAATTTCTATTTTTAGTAACCATGGCAACACCGTTCATCGAAATCAAAAACCGATATACAGAATTATGCATCTTAGTATAGTCTACTTGTGTGCCAAGTTATATTGAAATCAGATCAAAACTGTAGGAGGAGTAGCATTTTGAAAGTATTTCACAGAAATTTCTATTTTTAGTAACCATGGCAACACCGTTCATCGAAATCAAAAACCGATACACAGAATTGTGTATCTTAGTGTAGTCTACTTGTGTGCTAAGTTATATTGAAATCAGATCAAAACTGTAGGAGGAGTAGCATTTTGAATGTTTTTCACAGAAATTTCTATTTTTAGTAACCATGGCAACACCGTTCATCGAAATCAAAAACCGGTATACAGAATTATGTATCTTAGTGTAGTCTACTTGTGTGCCAAGTTATATTGAAATCAGACCAAAACTGAAGGAGGAGTAGCATTTTGAAAAATTGTTTACAGACGGACGGACAGACAGACAGACAGACAGACGGACAGACAGACAGACGGACGGACGACGGACACCTTACTATCGCATAAGCTCTTCTGGTCTCTGACCAGTAGAGCTAAAAATACTCACTTGAAGAAAATGATATGGTTGGCTGCATTTCATTTCCGGAATTTTTAAGAATATTCAACTTTTCATTTCTCCGACATTTTGTAGTTTTCATTTACGACATTTTAAAGTTTTTTATCTCCAACATTTATTATAAAGTACTTTTGAATAGAATTCAAGGCATTCCTTGCAAATTTTAAGAGAATAAATACAGTCAAACCTCAGTATCTCGAACTCGAAGGGACTGAGAAAATACTTCGAGATAACCGAGGATTTGAGATATCCAGGGTGAAATACTTAAGTAATATGCAGTTGGGACTTCAAAATCACTTTGACATATCCATGGTATCCGTGATATCCGTGTTCGAGATACCGAAGTTCAACTGTAATTGATATCCAATATAATTTCTATGCATTCACCTACATATAATTAAGTGGGGATTAAATTTGGTGAACAAAAATTACATGCCCATTTATCATGTTTAACTCATGCAAATATTTTAACTAGATTTATTGCTGCATTTGTATAGTGTATTATAATATTTTATTTAGGAAATGTGATTTGAAATGAATGTGATTTGTAATATTTGTATCTTGTTAAAACTTTATTTCCACCTATTTATATGTTTACATTAAATTGCTGAAAATTTAAGGTACTCTCAAAAAATTTCTGGAAATTAAAAAAAGGAAATTCGGAATTAAAAATAAAAAAATGTCCGAAATGAAAATAAAAATTGTTGGAAATGCAATGCAAAATTCCGGAAATGAAATGCAGCGAAACAATTAAAAAAAAATAAAGGTTTCATTCATTCTAATGAAAGATTCCAATGTTATATTGCCTCATATAAAAAAAATTAGAGTAAGAAAAATATTTTTTTCAGTAGGAGACATAACTTACATAACACCTAGGACAGAATTTTTTGGTGTTTGTTCCCATGTGGTTTGCTGCTTCTGCCAGCATACTAAAATCACAAACGCACACTGCAATGCAGGGAATAACAGTCACCTTCTCTCCTTTCATAGCATCAAATGTAAGCACACCTCTAAAAGATGATTAAAAGTAGGCTAATATTCTATTTAATATTAAAGTTGCATTTTATGACTTAACTCATTATTATATTTACTAAAATAAGAGAATAAAGGCATTTGCTCATTAGTCAGATGCACTGCTTCTATATTGAGCAATATAATTTAAGCAATTCTTAACTTGTTTTATAGAGAGAGAGAAATTTTCCTAAATTAGACTTGCCTTTCTGATTTTTTTTATGTCAGAAATGACTGCACGAGCCATTTCGAGAATTGGCACATCAGTGGAAGCTGACAAAAATTTAATAGATTGTGGATTCTGTTTGAGAATTTTTGGAAGTCCAGAAAGTTGTAGTTGCAGACAGTGCAGAGGTTTCCATTTTTTTGATTTATTGGCACTTGTGTCGTCCAAAAATAAATTAATAGGAACTGTGAAGGAAGGAGTGGATCTGTTTTTAACTGTTTTATCTATGAACTGTTTTTCTGCTACAAAATTAAATAGTTAATACAGTATATATTTAACATCAAAACAATTTTTATAATGTTAAGACAATGTTTGGAATAAAAAATTTGGTAATATCAATAGTTACTACCATCATATTTTTTAACCCAATGATGATTTTGAAAAGCCATCTTCACCATTAGAAACAGAGGACATAGCTTTAAAAGATTTTTTTACAGTTTTTTTCTCTCCTTTATACATGCAGTAATACACGTTTATGGCAAACACGGCTTAAATAATGAATTGACGCTCATAGAGAAGTGATTTTCAAATATTTTGTAAACTTAACTGATATAACAACTTACGCTTATAACAAAGCAAAATCGTCCATCCCTGGCACTACGTTATAAATGTGTTTTAGCGTGTTTTAATGTTTGGTTGAAATTGGTCTGATCGTTTTTGAGAATTCGAAAAATGTGGGAAGTTTACAGATAACACAAGACAGATGGACGCCAAACTTTGATCAGAAACTCACTTGAACATTTCCTTCAGGTGAGCTTTAAAAACAAGAGGCCCAAGGGCCTTAACGGTCACCTGAGTATAATGCAACAATTTAGAGGATCCATAGAGTATACCGCTAAAATATACTGATAGATGAAGCTTTGTTGCCCAAAAGCAAGAGAAATAGGATAGTCTTTCAGCATATGACCTGTAGAATGAATGACTAGTGACGTCGATTTGAGACAAATGACTAATATTCCATGTTCAAAAGTAAATGCACGACAGATGACGACAGACAAAAACGGAAAGTAATAGGTCACCTGAGTGACTCAGGTGACCTAAATATCTTTATCAGAAATTTGTGTGTTAAAAAAAAATCTTACCGTTTCTGTTAGAGGAATCACTTTGTCATCGACAACTCTGTAGAATGAATGACTAGTGACGTCGATTTGAGACAAATGACTAATATTCCATCTCTTTTCTGTTTCCAAGCACACCAAACTACAAGTAAATTGCACAATTAAAAATGTTTATGCTTCTTAATTTTTCAACAAACAAATTTTATTGGAGTATTTAAACTTTTTTAACAACAAACCTGTTTTCAGCAGCACTTCTCCTAAACATTTTCACTCTAGCATATGTAATGTCATACTGCAAAATTCAACATGCCTAACGGTTAATATGTTATTAGTGAAGAATATTCAAAACTTTCAGCAATGCGTAATTAATTTGTTATGTTGTGAAACTATATGCTCACAAAATATTTGAATAAGGGCCATAAAAAGAAATTGTACAGAATAGTGCTTATTAAGCAAAACTAATACTTGAATGTCTTGAAGAAATGAAGATATTTGTCCAATCTCTTGGCTCTCTGGATCAGATAGTTGAACAAAGTCTCCTGAAATTAAAAAGAAAACATAAGATTATAACTAAATTTGGAAAATGGGAAAAGATTGCAGACACACTGTAAGCTAAACAACTTGACAAACATATGGATACAGGACACAGATGATCAAAAAGATTCTTGTGCTTTTAGCTCAGGTGAGCTAAAATCTGAAATAAAAATAAATAGAACTAGTTTAAATTGTAAAGGGGACGCTTTCAAATGTTCCCCAAATGCTGTCATGTTGTCTTGCCTAAACTTTCCATATATCTCCCTATTCTGAGTATCAATGCATTTCATCAAATATATATATATAAGGTTATATCAAGTATAATGTTTCTTTAAACCATTGTACGTGCATGCATGACCATGTCATCATGTCCATACTTTTAATGCCTTTATATTATGAGCACCAAAGCATTTCATTAAAAAATATAAAAGTTACAGCTATATCAAGTATATTGGTCATTTAACGGATTGCACATGCACACATGTGCATGCATGTGCATGCAAAATGACCAAAAATCTACATAACATGCCTATTTATCCTGAAAAGGTTTCACCTTAATCGGATGAGTAGTTTACGAGATCACTCACGGAAAAATAAGTACCCAAGAGGAAAAATAATAATAATAATATATGTAGTAAGAAACAGAGTAAAAACAATATGTTCCCCAACTTCGTCTGGGGAACATATTAAATATATTCATATCCTTTCTCATTACAATACTATTAAATATCTTTACCAATACCTGAGAAGAAATATGTCTGTCCATTTTGGGCATAATTGGTATGAATCTCTTGAACCCATTTACATCCATCAGTTTGCTCTTGCAACATTGTTGTGCCATCTGATGACACTCGACCATATCTTAAAGGTGAATGAAATTTCTATGTCAATGTGCATGTTTAACTTTAAATTGATTCCAATTAATGCTGAAGCATAACTCTCACTGCTTAATCGAGGATTATTTTTCAGGTGACAGTAACAATTAAAGAAAATTCTTGCTCATCAGTGGCACTTAATGAGAGCAAGAACTTTTTTTGCATAAAAAAATTAAGAAAAAATTAATTTGGCTTATATGTATATGTACAGGTGTACCTTAACAAGTATGCGGAAGTTTCAGGATGTGCCAGTGTCATCTTCAGCAAGGCTGATGGCTTTATTATCCAAAAAGGATTTCCATCCGGACCTTCTTCCTACAACACAAAGTAGCCCTCAGCAATTTTATTACATCTTATTGCATGTACAATGCCCACATTTAAACCTTAAAATTTTGAATATTTATAGATAAGAGGACAGCCACATAAGGAATCCTGACTGATTTAACGGTTGCAAACTGAGTGTGTAAGCAGAGCCGGTAAAAAGGGATGTTTGCAACCGTTAAATCAGCATTAACTTAACGGTCGCAAATACCAAATTAGAATTCTAATGCAATATAAGCATTTTGTTTGATGTTCATGTCTTGTTTTGTTGAGTTTTGTTCTATAACGTACGTCAAGAAGCATTGTGTTTTTGCGTCGCTCTATTATGACATCACAATGAAAAGCTTTCATTCTTGTTAATGCTCGTTTTACTTCCTCAAACCTCAGTGTATTAGCCAATTAAATTGTGTTTTACAAAACAATTGCATCAGAATGTCAAATTAATTCGCACCTCATATAAGAAAAGACATTGGCAAATGTAAATATTGTGCATTGAATTGTATATGTATAATACACATAGCTACTTACACGAGACAGCATACTTTCTGGTGTCATATCACCACTTACTACCAAATTCTTCACAGAAGAAAATGAAGGCATATCTACACCACTTTCCTTCATGATAAACCATATAAACTTTGCGGTTTCATCACTCTATAAATAAATTCAAATGTGTACAATATTTCTTTGAAGTGTACATGGATTGTTTATAAGAGTCTCAGCAGTTATAATTAATAAACGAAAATGTTTATAAATCTGAAGAAAGATTTTTAAAAACATTTATTAAACTTTGTACTATTTTACTATGTGAGATCACAAAGTTTTAGTTAGGCCTGAGTATCAAAAGCTAGCTAACGATACGATACATATCATGATACAGTCTACCTCAAGTTTTAGTGTGTCCTTTGGGTTACAAGTGTAGATGTACACAAATGCACAAGCAATATGAGGTTGTATGTGACATTTCAATCAAAATCAGCCATATCATGATATATCTCAAACTACTTACAATGGTATGCGTTTTTGAATGTAATAAGATGTAAAGATACATCTGCAGTTTTGATGAAAATGGAAACCATGAATTGCCATCTTCACTGCCATTATTACATGTACAGGTGTCAGATGAATCACTGTCAAAATTTGATGCACTTTCCTGATCTGTGGCCCCATTATTGTTTTTGGAACTAGTTGTATTGGTAATGGAAAATTCCTGTAAGAGTTTTTAAATAATTTTTAAAACTTAATTTACATGTGAAAATGAAGAACAGAACCCATTTTACTTTAGTTCTATAATTCATATAATAATAATGATGTAAACTCACTGAAGCTCTTTGAATATGTTTAGTTTTAATCAGAGTTATTGCCCTTTATTCAGAATACATCAATTTGCAGTAAATGATGACAATAGGGCTGGGACAATACAACTTTTTATATGTCAAAATGTATCAGGATATTTGAGCCATGATACGATATGTATCACAATATTTTGAACAAGTTTGAATCTACTCCACCTGACAATACTTTCTTTTAAATACTACTAGTCATGATTTTGCTGTTCTTGAGAAGATTCGGAAGATAATTAAAGTTAAAGCCTAGGTTGACAATGGTTTTCATGGGGTTACCCTTAACTACATGCTGTATTTATTATATTATACTAAATGTTTTAATACAAATAAATATAACACTGAACATTGCACACATAGAAAAATACTTGCTTAATGATTGTGTGTCATTGAATCATATAATAAAACAATTATTGCTGTTTTTTTGGTCAATACGATGATTTAGCCCTTTGGGCTTGGTGAATATTGTACTCCTCAGGTGTCTAAATCATTGTGTTGCAGTCTATGCGAAAGTTTTTTGGACCACACAGGACATTCGGTCCTGTGTAATCAATGAACACATAGGACCGAACCAAAATTTGTCAGACCGAAAAACCTAATGTAAAAAAGTGAAATACGTGAAAATGCAGAACCCAGGAAATCTTATTACTGTAGACGGTCTATGCGGTTTTAATCAAATCATTTACATATTTGGATTTGTGCAATATTTTTTTTACTTATAACAAACATTTGAATGACTCCGCATCAAAATAGTAAAGCTCAAAACTGGACGCTGAGACATCAGACATTCTGGTCCGGTGTAAAAATGACGCATTGGACCAGAGGCACTGCACATCGGTCAGGTCCGATGGTACGATGTCTTTCGCATAGACTGCATGGTGTTGACCTCAAAAACCAGCAATAATTGTATATAATTTGCTCAACATAATTAATGACCCCACCCTACCTCTGGAATTATGATTGTGAAAGTGATGAATTTATTAATTGATTTCTAATTAATTAAAAATATCAAAATGTCTTTTATCCCATGTTTACCCCTTTATCCCGTGGATATGACTCATTGGATAATTTTTTCATAATCCACAGTTGTGACGTCACAATGGTTTTTGCGTTAGCGCAATGAAGTAAAATGAAGTGGAGTCCTATATAAAACAGTGTAAAACATTGGTTGTGAAGTATTAAACATGGGATAAAAAGAATCTCCCATGATTTGTAGTTGGATATGACTTTTATCCAACTCGTTGTGTGTTTTTATCCCCTCGCCAAGGCTCGGGGATAAAAAACACACAACTCATTGGATAAAAATCATATCCAACTACAAATCATGGGAGATCCTATATGTATTCTATTTGTACTTAAACTTATGGTAAGCTAACAAATATTTACTAATTTTAACATATCTATTAATAATACATTTCATTAATTGTGAAACCTGTAATTTTGGCAATATTAATTTCCATAGCACTTTTGCACAGTAAGAAAGGTATTTTGGAAGTCAGATATATTATTTGCTATATATAAGCATTAAAGCTAGTGTATTTAATGGTCCAGAAAATATGGACATATATGTTTTATGATTAAAGAATTATATAAAGTCTATGAAATTTATAGTTATCATCTGGACTCCCAGTCATTTATGATGTAGTGATGTAGATGCATTATGTGAGAGCTTGCCTATTCCCCCAGAATGGTATGCTGTTGTTTTTATGATCTATTGTTTATTCACAAAAGGTATATAATGTCTATGTAGATATTATAAGCTTAAATAGTAATATATATTTTGTTGTATTTTTAATTGTATGCACAGTGTAATTCATAGGGAGTACATGTGTATTTGATTATATATTTAATGAATGCAAGAGTTATCTCCCTTTATGCAGTATTGTATAATACTGAATATTGTGCGTTAATGATTTGATAATATTCTCAATATTGTTGTTAAATATTTCATGGCAAATATTTAACTGTATAATAACCAAGTCAGAAGTACGAACCCTAACAGGCATTTTAATTCATTCAACATCATATGCAGAAACCCTAGCTGTTACAATTATTAAATGTAATTTTATATATCTTTCAGTTAAATACATGCTAGATATATAAATGGACTCTTTGAATTATAATTGCATTATATCTGATATATTAATGAATTCATACTTATGATGCCTGTCAAATGATTATGCACACCATATTGTTTAATTAGCATGATCATATGCCAACATGGGGATCAATAAATGATCAATAAATGAAACCGAAATTTAAATGGAACATGTGGAAAAGTATAAAAGTTAATTACACAATAAGTTGATTTTTATAAATATTGTAAATTCATTTAAAAATAAAGTTAAAAGTGGTTCCTTTCTTAGGGTCACACACTATGTTAATTATTAATTTCAGACCTCTGAGATTCCAATGCCTTGAAAAATATTTAAAAAAAAAAAAGAATTATCCAGTCCTTTCCATGTTATATTCATGGACAAAGCTTTTTCTTTGGGAAAGAACAAAAAATGCAATGAAGTTTTAGAATATTGCATATGATTGTTGATATATCAACCGTAATAAACTCTAGACATATGCCATTTAGGCCTGTGGGGAAAATATGAGATTTTCTAATCAGCTGATATCAAGCGAAAATTATTATTCCTTAGAATTAATTTAATTTTGTGCGTAATAAACACATTTGTATTGATAAACTGTAAACAAGTAAGATATCAAACCTGAGCCTGTGCAGTCGAGGCTAATGTGTCACTGTCGGGATTGCTTGTACTGCCATTTGGAAAAGTCTGCCGCTCGCTGATAGAGGCTATTTTGGTGTTTCTCACATGTTTTTCAGTGTCGTTGTGTCTTAGTAGATGACTTTTCCGTCTTGTGGAAAAGCCACAAGGACTGCAAATTAATAAATCATCCGCTCGCCTCTTCATTTCGATACCATTCGAGATCTACACATCGTCTGTAAGTTGAAATATCGCGGGAAATAGTCCGGATGGAATTTCGGAAACGGTTTCGTTTATGAAAATATGAAACTCGTTAAAACCTCACAGATATGTTTTTAAACTGTATTTTTATGGCTACTGTCAAACAAGTGCATTATATATGTAACTGGTGGTTAAATATTTTTAACATTGCTTTGTTTAAACCGTAAATTAAGCCAAGATGTAACAGGAAGCTGTTGATACTGTCATAGTGTGTACATTATCCCTTCGGGTTTCAATGTTGACATATGACGTCACCTTGCATCTGCTTCGAGGCGTAAAACGTCAAAGTGGCCAGACAGAACACATAATCCGAAGGTAATTCAATTTAAACTTAAATGCACAATTGAAAAATAATTTCTTTACTATACATGGAGCAAAAGAACATTTATATTTTGTTTTATTCGTTCAAGATCAGAGATCCAACGAAGGATCGATCTTTATGATGTTAATTCGACGTACGAAAGTACCCAGCTAGCACAAAAACATTTTAAAAATGTTTTTAAAACATTTTCAAAATGTTACGAAAACATTTTCAAAAATGTTTTAATCACGTGATTTTGTATGGTTTTTTAAACGTTTTTAAAACATTTTAGCATAATGTTTCAGCAAATGTTATCAGAACATTTTATTAAAATGTTATGAAAACATTTTCAAAAATGTTTTAATCACGTGATTTTGTATGGTTTTTTAAACGTTTTTAAAACATTTTAGCATAATGTTTCAGCAAATGTTATCAGAACATTTTATTAAAATGTTATGAAAACATTTTCAAAAATGTTTTAATCACGTGATTTTGTATGGTTTTTTAAACGTTTTTAAAACATTTTAGCATAATGTTTCAGCAAATGTTATCAGAACATTTTATTAAAATGTTATGAAAACATTTTTGAAAATGTTTTAGTCACGTGATTTTGTATGGTTTTTAAAACGTTTTCAAAACATTTTACCCTAATGTCGCAATGACATCTCTTTCCTAAAATGTCACTTAACGTTTTCATTAAATGATATCAACATCATTTGTATGATTTTTCAAAGCGCTTTTCATACATTCCAGCTTAATTAATGAATCACATCTGAATGAATTCACTTTTTACAAATTTTAATACAAATCCTTATTTAATATGAAACACATATTTTAGTTCTATTTCCAGTACAAGTTTTGAGTTATTCTGTTTTAATCCAACAGATATTTTTAAAGGAAAAAATCCATTCTCTGAATTTAAAAACAGCAGAATCACATAAATCCTTCCAACTAGAAAGAATAAACAGGCCTATAGATCACTGTTATCATATACGATCCCGCAAAAAGCTTGTATCTACATGTACACGTGTAGGTTCCACAGAGCGGCGGATCAGCTACCTATTATGTAAATGGAATCGCACACATTAATAAAGTTCACAAGAAGTCTGTCCTAGGAAAGAATTGAACAAGAAGCTCTTTTCTGTAAAGCAGAACCTGTAAACATAGAGACAACAGTGTTAAAGTCATCCGTCTACATCAGATCTTTAAATAATGAAAATGTACACGAACATTTTTTTAAATAATAAAATCACATAAAATTTTCCATTTGCATTAATGAAAAGAATTAGAGTTGTTGCATGTTCATAACTAAAACACAATAATATTATTGAAGAGCAATGATATTTACGTACAAAAACATGCCTTTATCAGCTAGAGGCGGTTCTTTCAAACGTGGCTATTTGAATGAAATTCAAGTCTGTTGATGGAACTGTCATCTAACTGCAATATGATTTCATGTTTCAATAATAAGATATTTTGAATTTTGATCAACATAAGACAAGGAGGCATATTTGTTGTTTTCTAAAGTATTCAAATTCAAATACATAATAGCTTTGTTCTGCTACCCATATGTATACATGTATTCAGAAATAAAATGATGTACTGATAACAGAAGAGTCACTTTTAAAAAATTATCTTTTGAAATCTCTGAAGAAATTATACTCACAAAGCAGGTGTTAATAATCCAGCGCTAATTCTGGCTTATATGATGCAAAAATCTTGTTTGAAAATCAGCAACAAGAAAACGCACACATCCTGTTTACCAGAATTCAAATTTTGGCATAGATAAGCTGCAAACCACTATACTCTCTAACGCGCTGCCCAGCAGGAGAATTGCATAACAAGGTTATCATGACACTGAAACTGACCAGTGTAGCCACTCCTAATCTGCTGTCTTGGAGTTTAAGAAATATGATGCAAACAGACAAGATCGACGTCAAAAATCAGGCTGTGTTAATTATTGTAAACTGTTTGCTTATTATTTTTTCTTTTTTTTAAATTAAAGTACCTTTACTTTATTCAGTGAACTTTGTATTGATTACATGTCTGTCAACTCAATAAGAATTTTTGAAAAAAGAAAGAAAAATACAGGGATAATATTTTTTCTCGGGAAAAAATTGGGTTAGTCATGAATATTTTTAAAACATTTTGGAAATTACATTACAAAATATTGCATCAATGCTAAATAAAATGTTTTAGTCCTTAAAAGGATAAACGTTATAGTCAATGTTCTAAAAACATTTTTACAACATACTTTGAAAATAAACAAATCATTAATATTAACAATGATATAAATGTTTTAAAAACATTTTGAAAATGTTTCTATAGAATGTTGCATAAATTATAAATAAAATGTTTCAGTTGTAGGAGGAGAAAACGTTTTGTCAATGTTTTAAAAACATTTTCACGACCAACACTGAAACATTTAAATATTAAACTCTAAGCAATATTAAGAATGTTTTAAAAACATTTTGACAACGTTCTTTCGAAATGTTTTGAAAACGTAACATTACTATGTTTCATATATGTAGAAGAGGAATGTTTTATTTCAGGTTTTAAAAACATTTTTATAACGTTATAAGAAACTGTTTAATATATGCAAACAAGAATACCTTTGGAATCATTTTTAAAACGTTTCAAAAACATTTTCTAGAAATGTTCCTTAAAGATTTTACTTTAACCTTTTTGAAAACATTTTGAAAATGTTTCTATAGAATGTTGCATAAATTATAAATAAAATGTTTCAGTTGTAGGAGGAGAAAACGTTTTGTTCAATGTTTTAAAAACATTTTCACGACCAACACTGAAACATTTAAATATTAAACTCTAAGCAATATTAAGAATGTTTTAAAAACATTTTGACAACGTTCTTTCGAAATGTTTTGAAAACGTAACATTACTATGTTTCATATATGTAGAAGAGGAATGTTTTATTTCAGGTTTTAAAAACATTTTTATAACGTAATAAGAAACTGTTTGATATATGTAAAGAAGACATACCTTTGGAATCATTTTTAAAACATTTCAAAAACATTTTCTGGAAATGTTCCTTAAAGATTTTACTTTAACCTTTTTAAAAACATTTTTAAAATGTTTTTAAAATGTTACAATGGGAAAGAAAAATGTTTTTAAAACATTTTAAAAATGTTTACTCTGAAATGTTTTGAAAAAACATTTTTATAACTGCAATAAAATGTTTTGAAAATGTTTTGTGCTACCTGGGTAGGTACGACTGACCTGTACAAGAATTCTATGTAGAATTTATAGTGATATATATTGCAGTTGAAATCTGTTGAAAATGGAAAATGAGGGCCAGGATACATATAGTCAAGAATCAATCGATCTTTTCCGAGTAAGTAGCAGCTAGCTTCCATTTATACATTACATTGTGGACACTGTATATATGCATGCATCTAAATAGTGATCTACGAGATATACGAAGACTTGAATATCAACTGTATAAACTGATAAATATACAATAAGAAGGATACAAATATACGTACGCAGTGTTTACATCATCTTTTACATAGATGTATTTCCCACAAAGTTCATATTGATGATCAAGTAAATTTTTCTATGACAGATAAAATTCTGAAATGTTTAATTGCATGTGTGTATGTATAGTGTATGGCAATGGCCAGTGGGTGGTGGTATTGTACATGTATATATACATGTAGAGGGGAGGGGGTCTAACTTCTCAAACCACTAGGCAACAAGTATAGTTATTATAAATACCCAGCTATGTGGGGAAAAAGATACACTCTTTTGATTGGGATTGAAGCCTTTCACTTTTGCCCCAATTTTAGATAATCAAGATCCAGACTGTCTCAAATGAAATAAATGTACTTAATATAATTTTAATTATTGAAAAAGGGTTCACAGTCAGAAGATTTGGAAGTGAATGCTCAAGAAAGAGAAGAAATACTTCCACAAATGAACAGACCAGCACAGCCGAGCATGAGATTAATATGTATGGGCATTTATAATTTCTTGAACATTTTATGTAAAATAATATGTTTGTGTGTGAGATAGAGAGAGAGAGGGGGGGGGGACAGAAAACTTAAAAGTTATAATGAACATTTTGAGCTTTTTTTCTTATTATTTCATCCACAAATTCACAATGTAGCCAAACCAATTTTGTGATAGATGAAGAAGTCTGTGCTTTGAGAAGAGAAGTTAAAGATCTAAAGAGAGAAATTATGAAGAATACACCTGGAAAAATTTTTCAAGTGGATGGTTCCAATGTGAAGGTTGGTATATCAGTTTAAGAGATAAAAAAAAAAACAAATCAAGATTCACTTTCCATTATGATGAGTGCAATTCTGCAACATTTTGTGACCCTGTCATTTCTCATGATCTCCATATCATCTTTTCTTGTTTTTTTTTTTTTTGTTTTTGTTTTTTTTTTTAAATAAGCTTGCTCATGTGAGCATAACCAGTATTGAAAAGCCTTCCCATATTAATCTGTGGGAAAAAAAATTATCTATGTATTGTTTTCAAAAGAATAATTGATAGTTGTTGAGTTAAAAATTTATCATATGTATCAAACTACATTTATGCTTGTTTAATACCCCCAGCTTGAAAAGCAGGGGGGTAATTATAGTGATGGGGATGTCAGTACGTCCGTCCGTTATGCTTTGGGGTATGCATCTCTTATCGCAACTCCTAGCTCTTATACCGCTGAATGAAATTTAATGATACCGGTACTTGCACAGAATCTTTGTTAAATAGTGCCATTGTGACCTCCTTTTTTACTTTTTGATGGGACACAAATTTTGGGTTTAAATTCTCTTAGCAAAACGTGGCAGTGGCACACTGCCATTCTTTCTATAATATTGAGGGGTTATACCCATCTCTTACCGCAGTACCTCTAGTTTAATTAATAATGTAACAAATTTAAACAAACAAAACATCTGGAAGAGCAACAAGCCTACAGTTATGTAAATTTATGTACTGTAAATGAAAATTATTGACTTGCATGTATGGCATGATCAATAAGGGACATGTAAATTTTAGGGAACTCCAAATAGTGAACATTTAATTATTAGTTACTACTATTTTTTTTTTTTCATTGCAGAAACCTTTAACTGCTCTTCTTAAAAGCTTTTTCTTCACATACCCATGGATAAGAGAAGATGATGAGGAATTAAAGGTATTCTTATTTTATAAATAATAATTTGTCTTTACATAGAATTTTCAGGACTTGAAGACTAATTTATATGAAAAGCCTTGACAAAAATTGAATTCACTAGGGCATGGATAGTAGGTGTTAAAATAACAGGATAATACCTTTTAATTTTTGGGTCACATGATTATCACTATGTCTCGAGATCTCCCTCAATCTAACTAAAATTAGATGTTAGATCCGCTCGCATACTAGCTACACAAATGTTAGTGTAGCGAGTATGCGAGTGGATCTAATATCTAATTTTAGTTAGTGTAGCAAGTATGCGAGTGGATCTAACATCTAATTTTAGTTAGTGTAGCGAGTATGCAAGCGGATCTAACATCTAATTTTAATTAGATTGGATCTGCCTGTAAGTACATGTATGTCTTGATGCATAACTGTTGTGAATCATCTACTTAAGCCATCTTAATTATAACAATTTCATATTTCAAACAGAAGAATTTAATTGATGAGAAAGATAATTTTTTGGACAGCATGACTGTTTGTCATTCTGTATACACTTGTGATGGATGAAATAACTCAGGTTATAGATTTAAAACATTATTAGTTATCCAGGTCCAGTTGACGGTGTATGGGGATTTACCCCGGGTTTCATTCCATACACCCTGAGGCCGAAGTGTGTACTGGAATACAATCCGGGGTAAATCCCCATACACCCTTGATTGGACCTGGATAACAAATTTATTTTCTATGTACCCTAATAAATTCTTTGTAAACAAGTCCAATCAAATATGTTTCAAGCTATCGATAAGATTTACTATGTTCTACAATGCAACGTGACGTCATGTTATTTGCTTTTTATCATAGAGAAACTATGCATTGTGACGTCACATTTTTTACCCCCAGCTCAAGTCGGGTGTACAGAAATTTACACCCAACTTTGTAACCAAACAAAGCTCATTTTACAAGTTACATAGAAAATAAGTATATTTATAGTAGTGATATTTTAAGTCATCTTGGACCCAAATATATATATAGTAAATACATCAGTAAACAATACATAGCAGAAATCTTTTTCACACCCCACATGAACCTGATCAATACTCCAATATCAGCCCCAGCTACTCTGAATGAACTTAATGTATTCAATGTATAATGAAGGGACATTGAACAATTTTGAATCATTTTACAACAGGGTATTATTTTAACTCGGAATAATTATTTCATTCGGAATATAAAGAATTGAAAAAAATAAGCAACTAAGTCTCCTTACATATACTTGTAGCTCAGAAGAAAAAAAAAAGTTGCCTTAATTCTCTGCATTTTGTGTCTAATACAGTATTGGGATAAAGTTTTTTTTTATCTCTCTATAAATAATTTATATTTTATTTCTTGTAATATTGTTTTTTTCTTTTTAATTTATTTGTTTGTTTGTTTATTGTTGTGTTTGTTTATTCATTTGTGTAAACAAGGTTGCTTGTATTGCCAGGGGTTAGATGAAAATTTTATAGGGTTAGTTGGCGCATGCCTAAAGGGGTTAGTCGCCGCCGAGCGGCGACTAACCCCTTTGAGCATGCGCCAGTTGAGTTAGTTAAAAATCCTCTAGTTAATCCATATACAATGTGTATTCAGTCTGTATTGTTAATCAGTCCACGCGATGTACAAATTAAACGGTAATTAACACGGTAGAAGTATTTGTACTGTCACGCTGCGCTAAAATCCCAAGTATCTTTCATTCTATAAGTATCCATGAATGAAGACTACACAAGCCGATATCCTAAAGAAATAACTGGCAGAGAACGAAAATACATATCAATGCATATTCATTACGATAACCGAAAACACTAACAAGTATTTTTACAGTCGTAACAACGATTAAATCCAACAAATAACCAGAGAAATGCGACGATGTCAACACTGCCAATACACTGCAGACAACTCCTGTTCGACGTCACTTTTCGAAGTGCGACGTCACACGTACACTGTTTTCCCGAACTTTCTGTGGCAAAATGGCGTATAGGCATTGTATGTAATATAAGGTATTCTGTCATCGTAGTACAACACACAAACTTTATTCCTTTAGATTAAAGTTTTCCTTTACTTAGGTAATCAAATAGCAGAAGAGGAGACGAAAGCGAGCAGTATTTAGTACAGAAAACAGGTTACAAAAATTTGAAGATCCATGATCCGCCCACTTGTTTCACCCCAGCTAAGAGGTGCATATTTAGTGTGCACATCTCGAGTTTTCAAGTCGATGTGACGTCACAGTCAAGAGCAGCTATATAGTATGACAAGAGCATGATAATGCAGGGAACAGATTCTGTTAAAAAAATTTAAATTATTTGTATCTTTCGATTGATTTTAAATAAAAAGATCAACATTTAAAAAATGATTTATAGTGAAAGCTTAAAGAACGTTAATCGTCAATTATCAATACATTTTGATCCTACCGGGGGGGGGGGGGGGGGCTTTGGAACCAAATAAGGGGACGACCATTTGATTGTGAGGGGAGGGGGGTAATAAATAATCTGTCCTCTAAAATGTTGGTCTTGGAAATAAATAATCCGTTCTTGACTGGCAAGAAAATAAAGAATTTGTCTTTGACTGATGCTATGAAAATAAATAGTCCTTCACCGACATTAAAAATAAATTGGACTCGGAAAAATTTCCAGCCACCCCCTTTAAGAATCAAATGGTCGTCCCCTAATCTGTCTTGCATACACTGGGACAAATAGGGAGGAATGTAACCCAACCCCCAACCCCACTTTTCTCAGATTATTTTTTTTTTGTTTGTCAGATTTTTCAAGGAGAAGTAAAAAGTAAAGTAAGCTTGATTCTCTCTCTCAACTTTGATCTGAATCGACAAAATATTGCCAGCCCCTAAATTATATTCATTATAGCCATATCCTAAATTATTTTGTAATTAAGTAAAACCCGCGAAATAACAGATCGATATATTAAAAAAAAAATCAACCAGATGATTCACGTTGACCATTACTTAGAGAGTCCATATCGATATCCAAATCCGATACCCCCACCCCGATTTTAATAATCACATACAGCACAGTTGAAATATTTAATTTCTTTTAATTTTCTTCTTGAATCTTAAAACTTCAGACAAACCGTGTAGACCAAGGAAACAATTTATAAACGAAATACTAAACAGCTTCACAGAAACCCGATTCTTAAATCTGGGGGCTTCTTAAATCAGGGGACAATGGTTAGATTTTATTCCCACCCCATTTCCGGCAGAAAAAAAATGACAGGTTTGATCACAATGTAATAACAAAAAATGGGGTAGAGGTCGACTTTTCAATTAAAAAAAAAAATCCAGACAAGGCTCCCTGAAAAAAAAAGTCACTACATCGAAGGGTTTTAATCTATATGCACTTTCTAAATGTACCTTATATTCAGTATCTCTTTCTCCCCTAATGGAGGTTTTTCCTCCGGTGATGATGGTCACAGGATACACGTATTTGGTATTTGGCAGTACTGGAAGTTTCCGAATCACACTCAGCCAATCGCGAAAGAAGTAGACCTTCCAATCATATTTTATGCTAATAATAAATAAATGAACACATACACAAAATATTTTAGTTTTTCTTTTATTAACAGCGATAAATTCCTCCTTCCTGAACAAAATGTGACTTGTAAAACTTTGAATTATGTTTTAAATCCTCTTTTACTTTTTTTTTTTTTTTTTTTTTGATAAATCCATGCACTAAAATGGAGATGAAGATTATCGCAAGATGTAGAGTGATAACCTAATATTGTTGTTTGCCGTACACACCTCGTAAAACACAAATGTTGAGATGATGCAAGTTTATGTTTGTGATCAATACATATTCATCTAAACTACAGTTCAAAGTTCATTCAGATACTGTACATGTATTAATTTTTTTTTCGTAGACAGCAAGAATGAAGGGCAGACAGGACAAAAAACATGCGTCCGATTTTCGATCTTTGAATTTAGACATAAAATTTACTACTAAATTCTGTTTCATTGATAATGTTTTCGCACATTTATCACAGTGTAAATTTTGATATAAGCAATTTTAGTGACATGCTTTAACTGACTTTGAAATATACTTTTAATTATCTGTAATTACTTTAAACAACATGAAAGACTTTAATTATGCTAATTACTATGTAACTCAAAACGCGTCAATTTAATCAATTTACTCAACATGTCATGAGTTATTCTATCTTAGCCATCTGTCACTCATGCTCAGAACTGTGCTAATTGTCATTGTTATATTTTATTATTTATATGTTACATGTATCATTGTTAATCAGTTAAGTCCGAGGCGTCGGATTGTTCGGGTGTAATTTTTGGATTTCCAGAATTCGCCCTACCGACCTAAGTTATAATAAAGTGCTATTCCATCGTTAGCATTTTTATGTTTCATTGTTGCCGGAAAGTTTTACACTTATTTTCCCCGGTGATAATTTGGTGGAGAAATCCTAAGGGTATAACACCCGGGACTGCTGCATATATTTTGTTGCAGTTTGATCCTGAGTACCAGCAACTAAGCGAGTTTCCCCAAGACGGCCAACAACTATAACCTCAACCACACCATGCAAACCCGGAGAAAAGGATTTTACCGCTCCTCCCCAGCATCTTTCCAGCGCCATTGTCTTTCGCGTCCTTGGAATACACCAGGACCAGCACGAATTTTCTCGACACCGGGATCCAGTCCACGGTGCTATAGGTGCGGGAAAACTTTCTTCCACGGCCACCTTTTCACGTGTCCAGCTACACGTTCCGAGTGTTTCGTGTGCGGAAAACTTGGTCACCATGCGAAAGTATGTTTCTCTTCTGCAACCACACCTTACCGTTCCTCTCAAAGGAATACATTTCCATTGGCGTCCATCGATCATTCAACGATCAAAAAGGATCAAGCCAAGGGGTCAGGACGGGCCTGCTTGAAGACAAACCCGGGAAACCCGTCTGTAGGATCGCCTGACAAAAAATCGTCAAAATGCGATTCTACTGCAGGTATGTGTATTTCTCGGACTGCTTC